TAGCTTCAAAATCCATCAGAAATGGCAATTCAAGGACCATCAAAAGTTTTCCTTGCCTGGACCTTTCCTCATTGCAAACATGAGGCAGAAATGATTTCTACATATGTTCTTTCAGATGTCCTGAAATGCGCCACAAGGTCTCCTGAAACATGAACTCTTTGCCGTACTGAAATGTAGCCATATTGAGCCATTTCAGGTTCATTTCAGGCTACACAACATTTATCATTTTCCTGCACCACAAATGGCTACAAAAGTGGCAGCAAATCTATCATTTTGGGATGCCAGAAAGCCCCGGTTAAGTCTTCGAAAATGAAACAGTTTTGATGGCTTGACCGGGACATTTCAGGTGATCTGAAATCAGCTCATGCCCGTAGTGGCAAGCCGTCGGACTCGGACTCGGACTTGAAACATGTCTCGAACAGTCTCAGATGTTCACTGGTCTTGGCGATCTCTCAGCTTGAAGAAGCATGTGTGCTAGACAAAGGTAGGATGATTATCTACACATTTTATCATGCTGGGATGCGTACTCGCGGATATCCTTTCAGCGTGGCGTAACGCCAGGTTGTTCAGAGGGGTGCGTTTATATTACTGAAAATGCTTCCTGTTAAATCGCCACTAGATCGCCCCGAAACCATGACCCCTCGGACATTGGCGAACACCATGCGGCCCCATCATCACGGGCACTGGCGGGCACTCCGCTCGGTATAAAAGTGTTTCACCCAACGCGTTGCAGGCCTTTCGCCCCCACTTCTAGTCCAAGGCAGAACAACTATGCAGCAAATTGTGGTGGATGATCAAGAAACCAAGCTGTCATACATTGACAGCGGTGTTCCTGCTTCAAAATCAGGCAATAATTATACTACAATCTTCGCCATCCATGGCTCGGTATTTACCAATCGTAAGTCTGTCGAAGCAGTCATGCCCCTCCCATTTTGAAAGCCATCTTCATTCAGATGTCTTTGAAAAGCTGATGGCTGCCGCTGCCGAACATAACATTCGTATCGTCGCCATGAATCGCAGAGAATACCCAGGTTCGACCCCACTGTCCCCCTCCGATATCCAGATTCTCAGCTCGGGTACCGACGACGAGAAAGCTGCATTTCTGCGTGCTCGGGGGCTCGAGATTGCCACCTTCGCCTGTCGTTTCGCTCAACAATACGACATCCCTCGTATCTCTGAAGATGGCAAGACCGGCGGGTTTGTAATATTTGGCTGGTCCTTCGGCTGCTCGATTGCTCACCCTGCCGTCGCCCACTTCGATGCCCTCCCGCCCCCCTCGAAGCAGTACTTTTCCACAAATCTCCGCGGTCTCATTCTCCTAGGTGAGTCTCACTGCTCTGCCGTGCAGCCTCACGATTAACGGCTATCCAGAGCCGCCAACTGTCACACTCGGCACACCGATGCCGCCCAAGGCCTGGTCGCCGCACATCGACACTACTGTTCCCCAAGAGCTCCGCGACCCCTTCTTCGGCCACTGGATCTCCTCTTACTTCAAGCACGGCGACATATCTACTCGGGACCTCGACGTCCTGTCGTACATCGTGCCTGGGACGTTCCGTGCACCGAGCATCTACTCGATGTCGGAGGAACAGCTGGCGAAGATGACGTACGACCCGCCGGCGCAGACGTCAGACCTGCCATTCATGATCTTCTGTTCGGCGGCAGCCAACGCGAGCTACCGCAAGGCGTTCTTCGACAAGGACGTCAGGGCTGCGCTTCCGGGGATGATGGTGGCTGTCATCATGGGTGACGCGACATCTGCGCTCTCACTGGCCGCGTATTTTGCGGTCCAGAATGACGATGATGCGCTTGGGGGCGGGTTTGTCAGGTTTAAAGAGCTGCACGGCACGAACCATTTTGTGAGTGGGCGTACGCCGTTATATGTCGCATGCAAGACTACCGGACTGACGGCTATCCATGCAGGTCCACTGGGACGAACCGGAGCTTATACTCAAGACAGTGATGGCGTGTATCGAATGATAAATCGTGGTATACGTCTGGATGTAAATGTGCACTCTTTTGGATTTGAGTCCTGCGCCATGCCGCGATGATCAGAGACACTACTTCTAGAGCCCCGCAGAACATCGAGAGTATTCTGCGAGAGAAGCCGAGTGGCCTCGCTAAAACCGGGTCTGTCACCTGTATGCCTTTGCCCTGCAGCATCCTCAGCGACGCTTAGTGCGTCGATGTCAGATGATGTAACCTACTGCCTTGTTACCCTTACTTGCTACCAGACTAGACCTCCATCACATCTTAGGGTTCTATTCACTATGACCTCTGCCATCGCACACGGCGATGGCGCAGCGCATCGACAAGACGCTTGCAGACCTAATCCGCAGCGTATTACCTGCCCGTGCGCGCGCTCCCTGCCAAGGGAGTCGACGGCCAGACCGGGGTTCGTCGACCTCGGACCAGTTAACCTCCAGTAAAACCTGCCGAGGGAGCGGAACGAGATCGTGCGCGAACTTCATGCGGTGGTGGTTCACGTTCGCCCGGAACCCGACATTTTATAGTGGCATCCCATCCGACGCTGACGAAGAGCCTACAGGCACCTAATTTCCGTTGTTCATACATACTATTTGATCTGTTTCCGCACAATTATACATTCCTTCGCATTCATATCCTACGCATAAGATGTACATCCCTTCCCGAATCTGCCTTTGATTTCCCAAATCTATTGGCGAGGGCCCAAAGCTTCTCGAGGGCGATGTCTTATTGGGCGATTGTGTTTCGATGACCAGTTGGTGACTGCACGGCTTCACGCATGGAGCGCAAAACGCGCTCGATATATGGCTTTGCCAACACTTGCCTGATAGTGACGCGATACGGATGGTCCAATTGGTCCAATACACCACTAACTTTACATACACAGTTCGTACGAAACGGAAATGTAAGGTCCTGGAAGCCTTTGCAAGTATTTCATACACATCGCAACATACCCGCTCACGAAGAGGGACGTTTGTCGTCATTGACCGAGCCGTACTGCGAGACAGGTTCGTTCCGGCTCGCCGTGCGGCGGCCACGCCTGCCAAAGGCGAGGAACCCAAGGAAGATGAGCGCGGCAAGGAGCAAGCTGCAGGTCGCAGACGAGATGCCCGTGCCGGCGGCACCGACCTCCTCGTAGTGGTCGCACCCACGGAGCGTCGTCTGGTTGCAGTCCTGGCACCACTCGAGCTTCGTGTCGATCGCGACGGGTTCGAGCGCCTTCAGGAATGTCGACAGCGGGGCGTCGCCCGGCGAGGCCATGCCCGGCAGCAGCATCTTGTACGTCTTGAACCCAGCGTCGTCCGTCCCGTTCTTGAACTGGAACCGCACGAACGGCTCGCCCCCGTGCGACGCCTGGTGGATCTCGAACGAGAGCGCCGCGGCGTAGTTCACGATCGCGGGAGGGAGCTGGCCGTCGGCGTTCACGCCAGTCAGGTTAAAGAGGCTGAGGAACGGTTTGTACGAGATCGCCGAGTAGTGGAACTTGAGTGGGTTCGACGCATTGGCGATGTCCTGCGCGGCGGTCAAGATGGTCGGGAGCATCGCCGTGCCGGCAACTGTGAACGAACGGTGAGTAAGAGCTGGACAGGGGATGAGAAAAACACGTACCGTTGCCTATACCACCAAGAGTGGTATCTGTGAAGACGTGATACTCGTGCCAGTTTGCAAGGTCACGAGCCTGAGCAAGGAACGTGGGAGGAAGACTCTTCGCGAACGTAGCGTTGTGTATGGACTGAACGTTCATGAAGTCGAAGATCTGCAGCCGGAATCAGTCACCCATGCTTCGAATCAACGACAAAGTTTCACTCACGTTCCACATGTTCTGGAGGGTCACCGGTCGGCCGTCCAAATAGGGCGGGAGCTCACTTAGGAACGGAGCGGCCTCCGCGGCCTTCTCTTTGAAGAATGCCGAGTTGTAGAACGCGGTAGTGCGGGCTTCGAGCGTCTAGAAGCCAACGCTGTCAAGCTAATGAAGAGCTCTTGTGCGGAATGACATACATTGCAGTCCGTAAATCCCTCCAACGAAACATCATCTGTTCCGACGGACTGGATAGGAATGTACTGGTAGCCGTGGAAAGGGCCTGTCACAGAACTACCGTTCGCAAGGGTGATAGTATTGGCAGTCTGTTCGGTAGTTCAATTGACGGGCAAGGCGAAGCAGGAGAAGCGCATACAGCATTGGGCGGGAACAGGCCCTGGAGAAGAGCGAGCGCACTGTCGTAGATCACGAACCCCTCATCTGCGAAATCTGCCTGGGCAAAGAACGTGGACATGTTGAAGACAGTCGAGAGCCCGAAGTAGGACGACGAGTGAGGATTGAGGTAGACCGAGCGGACATACTGGCCGAGCTGCTTCTCTTGAACCTGAAGAAGGAAACGATGAGTACGAATGTGTGGATGCGGTGGGCCTTCATACCGATCCAAGGGGGGTGATGGCTGTATCGGAGGAGTCGTACGTCACAGGGTCCTGGTAGAACCCGAGGCGGTCACCGTGACGAGCGATGAGAACGGCACCAAGGACGTTGGACGACGGCATGACTGCGGTTGGAACTGGGGGGACGCGACTTTGATTCGGGGGGCCCTTATATATGTGCTGACCGGCGACGGCGGCTCGGCATGCATTGACAAGTAGACTGGAAACCTAGTGCCGTCCAGCCTCGGCGGGGGTGCAAATTCCTTCTTACGAGGTGGGGCCATGTGGGTTACCGCCAGCGACAATCAAAGCCTGTTCAATATGACAGCCTTGTAAAGATGAAGAGACAAATTGGTCACGTACTGAATGCCCCCCGTTTCGTGCTCGTCTCTGTCCGCGGCGGCGAAGCAAGTCTCTTTCTCCACTCTCCTCACAGCCCCCCACCACCTCCTACCGCCCACGCGCGGATATATCTTCGAGCGATGGTGATCGCAGCACAAAGTTAGTCTATGCGCCGCGCTTGCAAATATTCCGCGTCGTCGGAGTTGGATCGCCGCCCGTGATGAGCCCCAGTCTCCCAACATTCCAGTGCGGCATGTCGTCTCTCCGCGGAGGTTTTATATCTATGTCATCGAGGAATGAACAGTGATGAAAACTATGCCGTATCCGTATCAGCTTTCGCTGATGAGAAGAGATGGGAGATGTTGGCGGTTCGGAACAAGCTTTGTGTATAACCGCGCGCACCAATGTATAGCAGGCGTCTGTGCTATGGGCACGGGACAGCGGAGGTTAACGGACATATAGGACCCAGCATCACCGGTGCATCACCCCTGACGTCGAGTACAC